GCAAAAGCTTACAAGATAAGAACGAGAGAGAAAGAGGTTCTCTTTTTAGAGAAAGCGACATGTAACATATGTATGAGATATAATGTGTGTGTGTGAGATAGTCAAAAGAAAATAAAAGATTGGTCGCTCATGGCATACTGAACAGAGAGCTAAAGCTTTTCTCATTTTTTCCTAAAATTATTACAGCTTCATTTTCTTAGGGTTTCACACTGCCACGTGCAGTCCTCCGATTTGAAAACGAAGCCTTATAATTCTCTACCTAGGGCTGGGCAAAAAAACCGAACCCGAAAATCCGAACCGAACCCGGCCCGATAAAAAGGAATCCGAACCGATCCGAACCCGACATAAGTACTGAATGGATCTTGTTTTACGGTATTTCGGGTTATGGGTATTATCCGAACCACACCCGAACTTAAATGGATATCCGAAAGAACCCGAAACTTTAAAATTCCAAAAAAATTGTATCATACCTAATCTAAATTTCTAATATGTTTTCCAAAACAGATTAATATATTATTGAGTAACTACAATAATTAATTATGATATAAATAATTAACTCAAATATTTAGTCTAATATATAGTGTTATTTGGTTAAAATTAATGTTTATGATTGACATTACATTTGAAGTTAAGTTACGAATAAATTTGTTTTGAAGTTTATATAATGTTTTTTTAAAGTGTAAATAGTACTTCTTACTTTTATAGAATTGTTAGTTGTTAACTTTAATTTTTTATGTCGTTTAATTATGTATAATATTTCGTTCATATAAGGTTTTGGTTTGTCATTAATCATGATATGTTTAGTGTTGTCACATATAGTTCAATGACAAATCTTATTTTGTTGATAGATGAGTTTCACAATATTATTTTGAAGGAGAACAATATGGTTTGTAGAAGCTAAATACACAAATTTGATAAAATATTGAAAATATAGTGAGTTTAATTGAGTATAAATTAGTATTTTTAGAACCGATAACCCGATTAGTATCCGAAACCAAAATTATTTCGGGTTCAACCGGATCTTGGACATGGTACTAAACCCGAACCGACCCCGACTATACCCGAACCGAATCCGACCCGAATTTTTATAATATCCGAATGGGGCTGAAATTCATGAACCCGAAAACCCGAAACCCGAATGAACCCGAACCGAAACCCAGTTGGGACCCCGATTGCCCAGCCCTATCTCTACCTCTTCCCCAATTGGGCAAATTTTATTATTACTAACTAGGCTACTAGCTAATCATCTATAACAATCAACTGCATTCTTGTTCATGAAAATCATTCTAAGAATAAGGGTTTTTTGATGCAAGGCCTTGTAACAGATTTTAATCCTGTCTCTCATGCCTCGTTATTACGAGTATTAAACAAACGCGTTATAATAATTTTGTACTTTGTTGGTTAGTTTCGTACTTCATTGTTTATTAATGATAAAACTAGATCTCGACCCGCACAACCGTGCGGGTTTTATTTTTATTTATAATTTATAAAAAAAATTATCAATAAATAATAATATATTTACTTATAAAATCGTGCAAAATACTAAAATAATAGATGTTAAAGTATCATTTTTAAACACAACAAAAGAATATAAATTATCACTAACAAATATTTATCTATAGTGTATCTAAATAAATTTTAAAATGTATTGTATGCAAATTCCAGAAATTAAAACTCAATATTAAAGAAGATTATAATTTAATTATTTTAAATTATAATTTATGTATCAAACTCAAAAATATATTATTTAGTAATAACAATCAATAAGAATATAAATTAAAATATATAAAACAAATTACTATATATTAATAATGAAGAATAAAAAACTTAAACAACTAAATTATAGAGTTATATAATATATAATATTAAATGTAAATCATATATTTAATTTTTTATAATACTATCAAAGTGTTATATTTATAAAAAGAAAAAATTGTGTGGGTTAAACTCTCATATATAGTTTTTTATTTAGGATTGAGGAATATATAATGCTATCTAGATAAATTTTAATATCTTAAACAAAAACATTTGTATTTCGAATAAAAGATAAATATATGGGATAATATTATGGAAATACAATTTAAAAAGATGTCAAAAAGATTTTGTTGGATTTATTTCATTTGTATTTCAAATAGAAAAATAAAGATATTTAAAGATATTATTATTAAATTATGTAACATTTGATAATCTTCATAATCTTCTTAAGGAATAGTCCATTTTTTAAAAAATCACACATGAATCTAGGTTGTGACTTCTGTTTTAATATATAAGATGTGTATCATTGACCCAATTTTTTTTTATCGTTTTAATTTACCATTTAAATATCTGACTCAGAATAATAGTATCTTTTTTTTTGATAAAATAATACTAGTATTTTATTCGAACTATTATTAAAAAGACTAATTGAAGTAAGTTTGTTAACTAGTGATTCTAAATTTTCATAGGTAGAGATAGATTACTAACGGATCCTTAGCTTATCTTTTTGGCTTTGCCAATGGCACGTCAAAACAAAGACGACTCATTTGTTAGAGACCCCCCCCCCCCTTCCCTCCCCTTAAAAAAGTGTCAATGCTTCCGTCTTTTTGTTCAATTTGAACTCAATAGGATTTCAATAACTCGACGTAAGCAAAAGGGGTTGCTCTTTTTCAAAAACTACTTTATTTATCTTTTCTAGAGGTAAGTGCTAAACTTAATAGAACAAGATGTTGCTTAACCATTTGATTAGAATGATTCTAGAAATGGCACATGAAAAAGGATATTTACTTATTAGAATGTGTGTTAGATCTATCATTTGGAAATTTTTTTTGTTCAGATAAAAATTTTCATGCAATACAATCATGATTATTCTTTTAAATTATCCCAATATATAATATTATAAATATTTATTCAAATCTAAAATTATTGCACTGGTGATTAGAAAAAATACATTTAATTATCTAAGAAATTGTTTGTAGTCGGCCATTGTCAGAAATCTATTTCTCTCTATTTTTTTACTTTTCACAAGAAATTTCTCTGTTTATAATCTTCTTTCGTTGTCAGTGGCTCAATTTTATCAAATGGTGGTTTCGTGGTTGTATTCTAGATTTGACTTTTCTAAACCTCAGTTTCCTTCGTTTACTGGTGGTGTTGCTGGTTTCCGTCACTGGAGCTTGTGTCTTCCCTCGCGGTGGATTCTCTCCAAGAAATGGCTAGGTTTTCGTCCAGCGCGCATGTTAGACCTGTTTAGTTAGATCGGTCAGTGTTTTGGCTTCTCAGTCCTAAACACATTAAAGGATTAATATTTTGGACCATATCTTTTTTTGCATTTGTTTTATGTTATTCTTCTTCTTGCATTTTAAGGTAGCAAAAAAAGAAATAAGAAAGCCTTTTTAAAAAGACATTTAATTAATCTAATGTTATTGAAACATTTTACATTACTGTTTTTATGATTGGAAGTCGTTTAAGAGACTTTTTAAAGTTGATACTATAAGACCTTCTAAGTATAGCTATATATATTAAGTTGAAAAATATTTTAAATGATTTTTTCATAGAAAATTATCAAAATAATATTAAATTAATAATATTTGATTAAATACAGAATTCAACGTTTGTGTTTGACGTTTATATAATATATATGTGTATATATAGATGTTAGAATGCAAAAAACTTTAAACTCCTCCTTCCCTGTCATTTCTCTAAAACTTAAATTTCCTCATGTTCTTCTTAAATACTTAAAAGGCATATAAATGAAATGAAAATTTCTACAAATATTCACTGCTTTGTAAATACTTGAAAGTTTTATTTATTTTATTTATTTTCATTTTTTTAATTTTGATGATGTTTTTAATATGCAAATATAAGTTTTTATCTGACTCTTTTGGATAGCTTTCATTTCCATTGACCTAAATCTGACTGCCTTCCAGTTTTGTCTTTTATAATATCTTATCTTTATTTACTAAAATATGCAAAATGATATAATTAAGTTGCTAGAGTTTATCTAACTAAGCTACATGTTTCATTTTTACTGGTTAATCAAAGACCCTTTTAATAAAATTTAAAGGTCAATGTGATCATCAAAATTATGGTTTATCAACAAACACACATTTAACCCAAACTAGAAAAATATCCTATGAAGTTCATAAAAATTTATTATCGTGATAGCTCAAAGATAAGTTTAGTAGCTTAGATGATAAATATCACTATTGTTCGGTATATTTTGATTTCATATTAAATTCTAAATTTATATATAGATATAAAATCTCTAATTATTTATTTTTTTGATAGTTGTCAACAATTATATATGTATCAAAGACTTGTTTTGAGTTCTAAATTAATTTGTATTAATGAAATATTTCAAAGAAATCTAAGAAGATAAACAAAGACAAGGTCCTATCTATTCTCTTAAACCAATCCCCATAACCAAATAAAAAGGAGATTTATCATCATATTTCACAAAAACAAAACGAATATATACTTCTTTTCATGCCAATAAAAAAGAAAATTAAGCAGAAATAAAGAAAATAATTTCTTCTTCAAAAGCGTACCATCCTCTCAAATGGATGCTGTTCCTTCTCCATTATGATATCTCTCGGCCTCTCTCTCTATAGCTGTCTCTCTCTATTTTCTCCTTTTCTCTCTCTCTCTCCCTTCTGGTTCATAGCACATAGACTTATTTAAGTACATTGCCTGTGTTGTCTTTCTCAACCATTAGTGCTTTACTTCGATAAAGGTATACTCTCTTTCTCTCACTCCACACATTTAGAACATAGATTCTCTTGAACAAAGACATATTGTACTATCTGCCTAATCACTATTACCGTTCTTTCTTTTTTTTCTTGATTTCGCAGGCTAAGGAAGAAAAGTTTTGATTGTCTTCGTCATTGGAACAGTAATCTTCTCTCATATATATTTTTTTTCTCTTTTTTTTGGTGCGTGTGAAGAAGGTTTTGTTGGTACAAGTGTCATTCTCAAAAAAATTGTTTTAGGTTTTAATTTTGTTGCATCAAAACACCCAAAAGGACATGAACAACAACAAGACTTTCAGTACTACTACCACCATCAATGAAGACTACATGTCATTCCCTTATAATGACAATTATTGCTCACAACCATTACTCCATTTTAGCCCTTCCTCTTCCATTAACGACCTCTTAATTCACTCCAACTCCAACACATCCAACAATCATCTTGACCATCATCATCAATTCCTTCAAGCTGCTTCTCCCTTTTCCCAATTCGAATTCGTCCAGGACTTTGCCCTTCTCCCCTCTTTCCTCCCACAAAACATAGGTCACAATGATCACCAACCCATCAGCAGCACCAATAACCATCATCATCCATCACTTCTTCCCTTGAACAACACCACTGGTGAATCCAAACTCATTGAGCCCTCGGAGACCATAACCACACACAACGAAGACTCCCAGATAATCTCAACTTCTCAGGACCCAAAAATGAAAAAAGCCAAGAAACCAAGCAGAACGGACCGGCACAGCAAGATCAAAACGGCTAAAGGGACGAGAGATCGTAGAATGAGACTCTCTCTAGATGTCGCCAAAGCATTGTTCGGCTTACAAGACATGCTTGGATTCGACAAAGCCAGCAAAACCGTTGAATGGTTGCTCACACAAGCCAAACCAGAGATCATTAAGATCGCCAACCAGTTTAACCACCGCGGCTTCAGCAGCGGGGAGGACTCCCAAACCGGTAAGTATACATAAGTTTACTAATGTTTTCATTTTTTAAAATATTTTATCTTCTTCATGATTAATCTGAAACTGTGAGTTTCGAAAATCAACCAAGGCCCGGCGTTAGGGTCAACGGAGACATCATCTGATCTGTGCGAACTTTCATCTATGTGGACAGTCGATGATAGAGGCAGCAATACTAGCATGAACGGTACGTACGTTAACAGAGAGTTATAGTTTTATATATATTTTCGGAAAAAACAAATTATACTGATCTTAAAAAGAGTTTACAAGATACATAAACAGGTTTTTTACAAGTATTGATACAAAAAGGAAACTGAAACACTTTAAATAAAGAACTGGAAACTGTAACAAGTTTTCCTGTTGAAAGTCTCTAACATATGAAATATGTTATGTCTATTTTTGTGTTATTTTTCATACTTATATACATTCATCATTTCGTAGAAAATAAGGTGGATAGGAGAACAATGAGAGGGAAGAGAAACATGTCGCAGCGAACGCCCATGTTGAAAGAGATATCTAAAGATGACAGAGCCAAAGCAAGAGAGAGAGCAAAGGATAGAACAATGGAGAAGATGATGAAGAAAAGAGCACAAGTAAATGCTGTAGAAGAAGTAGAAGCTCATAATCACCATGATGAGGTAGTAAAGAATAATAATAATAATACTGATGTGAATTGGACTACTTCTTTTGAGGCGACGCCCTGCGGAGAAAATATGGAAGAGCTTTGCAAGAACAATCGTTTCGCAATTTACAACGATTTTGTGGTGAATAAAAAAGATAATATTTCGGACGAATCATATAATATGATCAGCAAATTGGATCCATCATTTCCAATGCTTACTCACCATTGCATCCAAGGTGCATCTACTTCCATAGAGGTAACTTATTCTATATCTACAAGTCGCATTTCATTATATATTTTTAAGAAGTTTTATTTTGTTGGTTTCTAGTAAATTCAAGATTCGTAGGCTACCTCAAATCCCTCAGTACCAACAGTACTGATTAGTTAATAATATAGAATGAGATTATTAGTTCGTTTTATGTATTGTGGATTGGTTATAGATAATTATCATATAGTTCCATATCAAAAATAATTGAAAGGCACCGTTTTTTTCCAGTTGATTATATTATATATTTGCCACATTTCATCCATTTGTTTTGTTTGTTCGTTCCTTGTAGCAGCAGTATCAGGTTAGGGATGTTCATCACTTCTTGGGGAGACAAAGGGACTTCATGTCCAACTATCATAATATGTAATGATATAGCTTACCGTTAATTTCTCAAATTAATAATAATGTGTATATGTGAATCTTATGAAGCTTTTTGTTCTTCACTTTCTTGTCACATATTAAATCAATGTAAAACAATCAATGCCTTTTATATAATATTTTGTTTTTATAGTTTGAGTGGAACCTTATATGCATAGCATTAAACGCAATTTTGTTTTTATATATATATATATATGTGCGTGTTCTTCATTCTGAAACAAAATAAAAATACAAATGTGTTTTTACTTTGTGGACAATCGCCGCTGTCTTCAGGGATTCAGAAATTGTGTCAAGTGGTGAAAAAGAAATTGTAAGCTATTATTTATCTTTTAAAATTGGCTTTCACTCTAGCTCTACTGATTCTCTTTTATGATTCATGTACGGCAATTCTAGTCAGAGCCGGACTTAGAAAAAAAGCGATGAAATTTGTGTTTCCGGCCGCCAAATATTAAGATTTTAAACGGCCACATTTGGACAGAAAATTCTTAGTATCATAGTGATTTGGATTAAAGTTTTAAGTGTTTCATGTTAACTGCTCGAGTGACTCCAGCCACAATTTTTTTTATTGACTTCTAGCCATATAATTACTAAGATCGGTTCTGATTCTAGTATAGTCAATTATGCTATAAATGATAACTACAAGATGTTATCACTTTTGAAATGGTACATTTCATAAAAATATTTCAACTAAATTTTAATAAGGTTTTTAATGTCCATAATTTTAAGCTACACAGTTTAATACTTTAATATTCTAAAAAAATATTTTTTATTTTAATATATAAACTGTTAAAACTATGTTCATTTTAATACTTCAAATATTATTTCATTTAATTAAAAATATTAATAAGTTAACGAAATTTAGAAAAACTATAAAATTTACCAAAGAAACTCAGAAAATTCTAATTTTATTTTCTGTATCAGAAATAAAAGTAATAAAATGTATATAATTTTAAAAATTTTTATTATAAGTTTGAAGTTTTAAATATTGAATTTAGTTTATTTTCTAAAGCAGAAAAATAGATTTATTTATTTTTCCTTCAAAATTAAGATTTTAATTTTAAAACTTCCCCTTAATTTATTTACCTTCTTTCCTAAATCCAAAAAAAAATTTAATTTTAATATTCTTTCTTATATTTTAAAGATTTTTTAAAATTCGTTTGAAACTTATTAGTATTTTTAACTAAAATAAACAAAGTTTGAGTATTAAAAATGCATGTTTTTAAAGTTAATGTATTAAAATGAATAACATAATTAGTTGGAGTATTATTAGTCTTGGTAACAAAAATGTTTGGAATTAAAAGAATTTAATGAAATTTAGTTGAAATATTTTTATAGAATTTTTTTTTTATTTTAATGATGTGAAGCTAGCTATTTGCTTTGTCCTTTTTCCATTGAGATATATACATCTAATATATAAGGATTGATGTTTACAAAGTTTGTGCACAAAAAAATAGAAGTTTACAAAGTTATTCTGGATCGAACTACATATTAGAGGAATTTTGTAAAAATTATAGGGATCAACTGACCCCCATCCACTTCACTTAGCTCCGCCAGAAGATACAAACATCCCAGAAGTACGATTATGAACCTGATGTTAAAACTGTTTTAATAAACATAATAAATAATATATTCTGACAGAAGAATATATATGTACTACATTAAGCTTGTTTAATATCTCCGTGTTCCATTTGAATGTTAATAGGATATTTTTCCCTCACTATTTTGATATATAGCCTCATGGAGAAGAAGTTTTTAGCTGATTTGGTGCCACTTGCAGATGACCTATATATTGATTTTTTTATCAAACCTTGAGTGGTTGAGTTAGTTGTAGTCCAGAGTAGAAGTGTTTGATTATTCATAAAACTTAGCTCTGAGCAGACCACACTCACCAACCATATGCTTGCAATACATATTATATATATATATATATATATATTCCTAGAGTAGCATGTGTGTTTTGTGTACCTTGGTTCTCCATTTTTATTTGGTCTTCCTTCAGCTCCTAAAAACACATCCACATGAAAAAACATATCTACTAGAATTCCATCTACAACCTCATAAATTTCGTCATTTCTTTAGAAATAGAATAAATATTGGAAAATATGTAAGCATCTGATACCGAGATAGATGTTCAAACAGAATACATAGGAGTCATCTATGGCCACGTCGGAAAATTGAATCAATTTAGAATAATATCATAATTCTACTACCAATATTAGAATTCGTTTAACAGTTTTGTAAATATGTTATGATTCACGATATATCTGAAAATGTCTCGTAGTTGGTAATAACAAACACACATGATAGTTGCATGGCTAATGCCAAACATAAAAAATAATAAGGAAGAAGACTTGTTTTTTTGGAACTTAAAGGGAGAAGATATATTGTGTTATGTTTGGATTGTAAAGTTTGATTTAATTGTATTTGGTCACTGGATAAATATTACAATGGAGGAAGAATGTACACACGAAAGGATTAGAAGAAGTCTCAAACACAATGTAATTAACTTTTAGAAAGAACTATGAAAAACACTGAAATGAAACTCTCTCAAATGACAAAAGTGGGTTAAATGAGTGCCGAGACATTTGATAATGATTAAAACGAATAAGTACACAAAGACAAACAAAAGAACATTATGTAAATATTAGAAGTTATAATTAAGTCTGTAACAGTTTTGTGATACACAGTCAGTATAGAATGTTTTATCTTATGAATATCAATTACCCGACAAAATGCATATATTTATATTATGAGTCAATTAGGGAAAGTACAATTACGAAAAGCTCAATATTTAATTAATCCGCATTTACCATTCTTTTTATGAAAGTGTAATTTTTTATATATATGTTACACTTTTTGTAATATTTATTTGTTCTATATGGGCGTACACCGTAAATACTAATCTTGACTATATCCCCGCAAACACACAACATCTTACTCAACAAAAATTACATATCTCGTTGTAGCCAAACAAAAGGTTAATTTATTCAAACAGCCAAACAAAAGGTTAATTTGTTCAAACTCGTCAAGGTAATTTATATGTTACTTTAGACATCCATGTCTTTTTGCAGTTATAACTTTTAATATACATATATCAACTATAAGAAAATAGAAATATATATAAATATTTGTAAAGTCACGTGAACCGCAATGCTAAACATATAGTAGGCAAAAATATAACATTAGTTATACTAATAACTAGAGGTTGACCCGCACATCCGTACGAATGTTAAATTTTACTTTTTTTAAAAATTCATATATTATTTTTCATAATTTAAGTTATATTCTATATATGCTATCATATAATTAAATGAATATCTTTAAGTTCTTTACATCAGAACTGAATCCGAATCAAATAACTTAATATGATTATTTTTGGTAATTTGGTTATTTTTTAGTTTGGATTTAAAATACCAAATCAAACGGTTACTATATGTATTTTTGTACAAATATCTGAACATATTTCAGATACATTAATTTTAAGATATTTTAAAAATTTCATATATCAAAACCAAATCCATACCGACTTCATACTTAGGTGAAACAATAAATGAAGTGATTACAATAAATAAAATGATTGTTTAGTAAAGATAATAAATGAAGTGATTATTTATAAATAAAGTGATTGTTTAGTTAGAATTAATTAAAATAGAAAAAAAAATTATAAAAAATTATTTTAAAATAGGCAAGTATTGTTTTACTTCTTTTTAATAGAATAGACGTCAAACATAACAGAAACGATATAGGAAAATTATTCTGAGTGTTGTTTAAACGCAAAGCTTGTTTTAATTGTAATTGGTTCCAAGGTAATCAGTAAATGGAATAAAAGGTCCTATAACGAAGAATTAAAAAGAGGTCCTAAAAACGAAGTGTCGCTCAATTCTTTAGAGAAAGGAACATTAAACATGTATTAGAAAATATTAAAATGAAATTCTACAAAAGAAGAACAGATGTTAAATGAGTAAAGAGATATTTGAAAACGATAAAAACAAATAATTCTACAAAAAGTTATGCATGTATCAAAAACATTTATAATCTTTTAAACATTTCATGATGCACCGTCAATGTAAATATCTTACATTCTTACAGCAACTAATCGACAGTTATATCAACTAGTGACTAGTCGACCAAAACATATGTCTATTTCCTAATTATTGTGAAGTGGAATGCCAAAAATGTAAACACAATGATAACGCAGTACCTGTGTAGACACCATTCAACGGAAAAGAATTCAAAATATATTTCTATGAAAGTATTTTTTTGGGTTTGTTTTGAACAACACTAGTGAATATAGTACAATGTTTATGAATAAGCAAAGCACCAGTAAGTTTACGTTCAGAGGAAAAGATGGTATAAGAAAACAGAAAAAAAAAATCGACCATATAAGAAGAACAACAAAAATTGAAATATCTCTCTGGAATCAAAAGTTGACATGAAAAAAAGAACTACGGAATCCAATATTTCTTTTAAATAACAATACGTGGTGAAGAGTAATTAGAGAATTAACAGAAATTAATTGTTAATTAGTAATATAATTTATCTTGTTTGGAAACGTCAAAAAGATCAATTTGGAACAACTAAAGGGATTAATTAATCTACTTAAAAATGTTAAGAGTTAATTTAGCAGAACAAAACAAAAACCAAATGGAAATGCAAGATTTTCTCTTCTCAATTCCACCCATCAAAGCTGTAAAAAGACCTAATGATAGATATCAAACTAGAAGAAATTACGAAATTGATGAAGGAAACAAAAAAAAACCTCTAAATCTGAGTTAGTAAAAAAAGCCCTAGATCTGGATAGCGAGAAACCAGAACTTTGACTGTTATCACCAAAAATAAAATAAAAACTAAAGAATCCGACCTTCGATGCACTTGTTAGAGATACAGATCTAGAAGTATATATAAGAGAATGAGTCCCAGAAACTGCAAAATTAATTATACCGGCATTGTCTCTCTCCCTCTCTCTCTTATATTTTCAAACCCTATAATTCAAAGCCCTAGTAAGAGAGAGTGTGGCTTTGAACGATAGATGCCAACCCTACAAGTAGGAGTAGAGAAAGAACTGTACGCATCCGGCATCAATGGCGGATTTTTAGGGGTTTCCGGAAAAAT